ATGATTTAGAGCATTTTTCATATGATTATGAATTGTTTTGATTTCTTCATCAGAAAACTATCTGTTCATATCCTTTGACCATTTATCAATTGGGGAATGACTCACATTCTTATAGATTTGATAAATTTCTTTATGTATTTGAGATATGATACCTTTATCTGAGAAACTGTCTATAAATGTTTTTCCCAGTTTTCTGTTTTCTTTCTGATCTTGCTGACATTTGTTTTATTTGTACAAAAACTTTTTTTTAATTTAACGCAATAAAATTATTCATTTTACATCTCACAACACTCTCTTGTTTGTTAATAAATTGTTCACCTATCCATAAGTCTGATAGTTAATATGTTCCATGTTCTTCAAATTTTCTTGTAATATTTCTCTTTATATCTAGATCATGTGTCCATTTTGACCTTATCTTGGTAAATGGTGTAAGATACTGATCTCTGCACGATTCCTGCCAGACTGCTTTCCAGCTTCCCCAACAATTTTTTTTTACCAAATAATGAATTATAATCCTAAAAACTTAAGTCTTTACACTTGTCAAACACTGTGTAACTATATTTGTTTGTTGCTGTAGCTTGTATGTCTACTCTGTTTCACTGAGCTACCTTTCTATTTCTTAGCCAGTAACAGATAGGTTTGATAATTACTATCTTGTAATATTATTTAATATCTGGTACACCTAACATCCTTACTTTATATTTTTTCCACTAGTTCCTTTGATATTCTTGATCTTTTGTTCTTCCAAATGCATTTTGTTACCATTTTTCTAGCTCCGTAAAATAATTTTTTTGGTAATTTTATTGGGATGACATTGAATATATAGATTAAATTTGGAAAAATTGTCATTTTTGTTGTATTGGCCCATTTATTTAAATCTGATTTTATTTGTGTACAAAGTTTTTTATGGTTTTCTTCATATAGATCCTGTGTTTATTTTGGTAGGTGTATTCCTATGTATTTTATGTTGTCTAGAGTTGTTTTAAATGGGGTATTTCTAGCTATCTCTTCCTGCAGGATCATGTTGTTAATATATAGGAATGCTAATGGTTCATCTGGGTTACTTCCTATCCTACTCCTTTGCTGAAATTATTAATTATTTCAATTAACTTTTTAGTTGAGTCTTTAGAATTTTCTAAGTCTATCATATCATCAACAAAAAGAGATAGTTTTACTATCTCATTCCCTATTCTGATTCCTTCTATTTCTTTTTTCTTCTCTTATTGCTATTGCTATGACTTCCAATACAGTATTAAATAATATTGGTGACAGTGGGCATCCTTATTTCATAACTAATCTCTGGAAGGCTTCTAACTTGCTGATGGTTTTAGGTAAATGCTTCTTATCAATATAAGGAAAAGCCCATTTATGCCTATACTTCCAAGTATTTTTTTTTTAATTTTATTTGCTTTTTTTGGTGAGGCAGTTGGGGTTAAATGACTTGCTCAGGGTCACATAGCTAGTAAGTGTTAAGTGTCTGAGGCTGGATTTGAACTCAGGTCCTGCTGACTCCAAGGCCAACTCTATTCACTGTGCCACCTAGTTGCCCCTCAAGTATTTTTTTTTAATAGAAATGAGTGTTGTACTTTATCAAATGCTTTTTCTGCATCTATTGATATTATCATAAGATTTTTTATTACTTTTATTATTGATATAGTCAATTATGTTAATAGTTTTCCTTATGTTAAACCATCCCTGCATTCCTGGTATGAATCCCATTTGGTCATAATATATAATCTTTATAATATATTGTTGTAATCTTTTAGCTAGTACTTTATTTAGGATTTTTACATCCATATTCATTAATGAAATTGGTCTGTAATTTTCTGTTTTTACTTTTCCTGGTTTAGGTATCAATTTCACATTTGTTTCATAAAATAAGTTTGGTAGGAGCCTTTCTTTGCATATTATTCCAAATAATTTATTTAATATTGGAATTAGTTTGTCTTTAAGTGTTTGATAAAATTCACTTGTAAATCTTTCTGGTCCCGGTGCTTTTTTCTTAGGAAGATTATTTATGGCCTGTTCAATTTCTTTTTCTAAAATAGGTCTATTTAGATGTTTCATTTCCTCTTCTGCTAATCTGGGCAATTTATATTTTTGTAAATATTCTTCCATTTCACTTAAGTTGTTAAATGTGTTGGCATATAACTGGGCAAAATAACTCCTTATAATTGCTTTGATTTCATCTTCTTTAGTAGTAAATTGACCCTTTTCATTTTTGATACTAGTAATTTGGTTTTCTTCTCTCTTTCTTGTTTAATTGTATTAACCAATGGTTTATCTATTTTATTGATTTTGTTGCAACACCAACTTCTAGTTTTATTTATTAATTCAATGATTTTTTTATACTTAGTTTTATTAATTTCATATTTAATTCATAGGATTTCCAATTCAGTATTTAATTGAGGATTTTTAATTTCTTCTTTTTCTATTTTTTAATTGTATACCCAGTTCATTAGTCTGCTCTTTTTTTATTGACATAAGAACTTAGAAATACAATTTTTCTGCTGATTACTGCTTTTGCTGTATCCCTTGTTTCATTATTGTCATTTTCTTTAATGAAATTACTGATTATTTCTATTATTTGTTTTTCAACCCATCCATTCTTTAAGATTAGGTTGTTTAGTCTCCAATTAGTTTTTTCCTAGGTTTCCATGGTCCCTTATTAAATACAATTTTTTATTGCATTGTGGTCTGTAAAGGGAGCATTTAATATTTCTGCTTTTCTGCTTTTAGCTATAAAATTTATGTGCCCTAATATATGGTCAGTTTTTGTAAAGGTACAATGTACCACTGAGAAAAAGGTGTATTCCTTTCTATTCCCCTTCAATTCTCTCCAGATATCTATCATATCTAGCTTATCTAAAATTCTATTCACTTCCTGAACATCTTATTTATTTTTTGGTTAGATTTGTCTAGTTCTGAGAGGGAAAGATTAAAGGCCCCTACTATTATGATACTGCTCTCTATTTCCACCCATAGTTCATTTAATTTTTCTTTTAAAAATTTAGATGCTATAGTATTTGGTGCATATAAGTTTAGTACCTTTTATCATACTGTAGTTTCTGTGTTTATCTCTTTTAATTAAATCTATTATAGTTTTGACTTTATCTGACATCATGATTGTTACCCCTGCTCTTTTTTTTTTCACATTGTCTGAGGCATAATACATTCTACTCCAGCCCTTTATTTTTACCCTGTATGTATCTCTCATTTTTAAATATTCTTCAGCATATTGTCAGATTCTTATGTTTTAATCCATTCTGTTATCCAATTCTATTTTATGGGTGAATTTATCCCATTCACATTCAAAGTTACAATTACTATTTGTATATTTCCCTCCATTCTGTTTTTCCTTACTATTGTCCTTTTCAGCCTCTCTTTTTATCCTGTTCCTCCTCTAGTTTATTTCAAATCACTACCTCCCTATTCCACACTCTTGTAAAGAATCTCTCCCTTATCCTCTCCCCTTACTCTCCTTTTCCATGTTCTACCCACCTTTCTAAGGGTCCCTTCCTTTTCTTCTTCCCCTTACATCCTAAATCTTAATCTACACACCCTTCTATGTACCACTTCTTATCCTATTTCCTCATCCTGTTATTTCTTTACAAATTTAGAAGACTTTCATACCCTTCTAGAGGTATGTGTTGTTTCCTCTTTAATCCAGATCTGATGAGTATAAGCTTCCAGCACTACCAGGCCTCCACCCTCACGTGATTCCTCTGTATCAGTTCTTCCTCTTGTGCCTCATTTGTATGAGATAATTGCTCTTTTTACCTTTTCCTACACAATTTTGCTTTTTTAGATTCACCACATCATACTTAGCTCTTCTCTGATCTTTCTTTTGAACTACCCAGTTACTAATGACAATTTTAAGCATACAATTTATATTTTCACATATAAAAAGTAAATAGTTTGTCTTTAATGAATCTCTTGTGATTGGTCTTTGATGTTTACCTTATATTTATCCTGGATCTTATATGTCAAATTTCCTCTTAAGTTCTGGTCTTTTTGCAACAAAATTCTGAAAGTCTGTCAATTCATCAAATGCCTTTTTTTTTCATTAAGAATTACACTGAACTTTGCTGGGTAAGTTATTTTTGGCAGCAACCCCACTTCTTTTGTTCTTCGATATATAGTGTTCCAAGACTTGTGGTCTTGTGTAATTCTAATTGTGGCTACACAGTATTTGAAATTTTTTTTCCTTGTTGCTCATAATATTTTCTCCTTAACCTGGGGGTTTTGGAATTTGGCTATGATATTCCTGTAGGTTTTCATCCTGGGATCTCTTTTGGGTGGTGATCAGTAGATTTTTTTTTTATTTCTATTTTCCTTTCTTGATCTAAAACTTCAGGGCAATTTTCTTTAATTATTTCTTGTATTATTGTATCAAGATTCTTTTTTGGATGGTAACTTTCAGGTAGTCCAATTATTTTCATGTTTTCTCTTCTTCATCTGTTCTCCAGATCAGTTGTTTTCTTAAGATATTTCACATTCTCTTCTATTTTTCCATTCTTTTTATTTTTTTTTTACTTCTTGATATAACATCATTTGTTTCCCCTTGCCCAATTACAGTTTTCAAGGAGTTGTTTTCTTCCTTAAGATTCTGAATCTCTTTTTCCAGTTGGTTGACTTTCTTTTCATAATTTTCTTGGTTTTCTTTGTATTTTCTTATGGGTTTTTTTTCTAATTCTTCCTCAACCTTTCTTATTTGATTTGTAAAGTCCCTTTTAAGTTCTTCCACAAACTCTTTTTGGGCAGGTGACCATTTGATATTACTCTTTGGGGTAGGAAAGGCTTTTTTTTAATTCGGTATCCTTCTCTGAAAATGAACCCCATTTTTCTCTATTCCCATAGTAGCTGTATGTTGTTGGGTTCTTTCTCCTTTGCTTGCTCATTTAAAAAAAATAGCAGCTTGTTATTATAATCACCTCTAATCCTAGGATGTGGGTGATGGTTCCTCTGGCCTTAGGTCTTTCTTATGGTTATTTTTTAAGATTTGTCCAGAGCCCAACCTCTGCACTCCTTTCTCCCTCCAAGCCACAGACAGATAGGGCCTTCAGGAACAATATGTTGGAAATGCTCTTGCTCTCTGAGGACCCTCCATTGGCTGTAACCTTCTCCCCTCTGGCCTGGAACTGAAACCAAGAAATCAGCCCTCCTGTAAGTGCCCACAGCATGTAGCATCCCCACCCCACTGCTTCTGCACTCACATGTGTCTGCTGTTTCTTTCTCACCTTCAGCTGCAGCCTGGGACCCTCTTGGCAGCACAGCGGGGTCTAGCATCCCTCAGCAGCAGAGGGTCCTTCAGTGTTCCCCTGCTCAGATATCTGTCCTCCCACCCTGTCTGAGAATTCCTGTGTCTGAAGTTGAGGCTGCCTCCCAAACCACCTGCCTCCAGGGCTTATTGTTTCTTGTTTAAGCAGAAATCAGGTCTTCTCCAGTTGTCCCAGAAGGACCACTGCTCTGCCTCAAGTCTTCTTTATTTTTGCCACCCTACCTACATTCACCCTGAGGTGCTATTTTATCTTGTTTGTAGAGGAAATCTAAAGAATTTAGAATTTTCTTACCTACTCTCCCATCTTCCCAGAATCCCTTCCCTCTATTCATTTTAAATTTAAATACAAAAAAAGAAAAGAAAAACAAAAAACCATTTCCCTCTACACAGAACATAAAAGAGAATTCAATGCACACCAACAAATTTTCATTTCAAGAAAACCTATATAATAAACACTACACATCGTTTTCAAAGCTAACCAGCTTTTCTTTGCTTCCTTGTAGTTTTTTGTTCTCTGCTGTGCACTTTTTACTTTATTTTTTTCTGTCCCGCCTCTTCCCATTCCCCACTCCTCCTGCCCTAAAAAAGGCTACAATTAAATGCTGATATATGTGTGCACATGTGTGTATACACACACACACAAATATATACATATATGTATATGTGAATATATACACATACATAGTTATCTATAAACATACACATATACACTTATGCACATATATATGACCATACTATGCGTATTTCCACTTTGTCATCTCTTTCTCTGAAGGTAGAGAGCATCTTCCTTCACAGGTCCAAATCTTTCCATGTTTTTCTGAATCAACCAGCTCATATTTCCTACACCACAGCAGTATTCCAAAACAATCATGTCCTATCTGAGAGATTGTCTATGAAAGTTTTTTTCCAGTTTTCTGCATTCTTTCTATTCTTGGCTACATTGGTTTTATTTATACAAGAAACTTTTTTATTTAAAATAATTGAAATCATCCATTTTACACTTAAACAATGTTCTTACCTTGTAATACATTTTAAGGTCTGATACTGTTGAATCTCCTTCCTTTACATCTTTTCCCCCTTATTTCTTTGAAATTCCTGCCCTTTTGTTCTTCCAAATGAACTTTGTTGTTATTTTTTCTAACTCAGTAAGATTATTTTTCATAATTAAATTGTGATGGCATTGAATAAATAGATTAGGTAAAATTGCCCAGCACAAATTAAGAATACGGTAAGTGTAAGCATGATAAGATAGATTTCAACATGTGTCCTACAAAATAGAAGTCTAAAGTTTGAGGAAGAAGGAATTTTGAGAAATTACTCAGACTGAGACTAAAACTTAGATTTATATCTTCTCTTTAATAAGCTAAATATGAAAATTTTTCTAACCAAAGGAGTGAAGAAAAATTTCTTTGCCATTTATGCCCTTTAGGATAGTTTCTTTTTCTCTCTTAAGGTAACAAATTGAGAAAAGGTAGATGAATATAAGCTCCAGCTAAAATCTCATTTCAAGGAGAGTAGTATGTACCCACTTCTGGCTTCTCTATGTCAGAAATATTGGTGGAAGATTAGAAACAAGTTAACTATATTTATGAAAGGTGAGAAGTTTTCTAGCTTTTACTTGACTAAAGAAGAAATAGTAGGGAAAAAAGGCACTGGAGTTAGAGTCAGAAAAAACTTCTTATTGAAAACTATCTCATATACTTGCTAACTTTGTAACTCTGGGCAAGTAATTAAGCTTTACTTCAATCATCTATAAAATGGAAATAATGAAAATATCTCTGTTATGAAGTTATTGTGAAAATTAAATATATGTAAATTGTTTTGCGAACCTTAAAATACTATATAAATATCATCATAGCCATCATTATTGATTTAACTCTTTTCATAAGAGTCCATGATGAAATGTTGACTCTTAGCTTGAAAGCATTCCAAGCAATGAGAAGTTTGCAATTGTACCTTAAAAAAGATGATGAGCTAACACATTTCAAAGAATGCATCTATATCTCAAAATAAATGATTTATTTAGCAAATATTTATTAAGTGCCAAAAGCATAGATTTAATCCTCTATGCTAGTGGCTGAGGACATAGATATATGCTGGAAGATAATAGAATTTAGAATTGGAGAAGCCTTGCTCATAAGGTCTAATTATGCAAAAGTGATTCTGAAATAAAGGAGAATGATAAAAGTGCAAGAGAGGTCCATCCAAAGAGCTACATGAAATTTGGAAAGGGAGAGGTAACATTCACTGGGAGGGTTTAGGGAAGATTTATTTGAGGAGATGCTCCTGAGTTGGAATTTTATGAAATGGAGACTTAAATAGGGAGGGGGTATATATTCCATGCACAGGAGATTGCATAAAGGCATAGAGATGGGAGAACGAAGCATAAGAAGAGAGGATGGAGAGATAACTTGTTTGTAACATAAGAGTTTGATAAGTTGGAGCAGTATGAATTAAGTCTGGGAGAAAGGGTTCAAATTATAATGTTTTCAATGCATTATTTGTGCTTTGAGAAGCAATGGGGAGCACCTGAAGGTTTTTGAGTAGAGTAGTAGCATAATCATAGTGGTACATTAGGACAATTATTTAGGAATCAATGTGAAGGATGGAATGGAGAGGGGGTAAATTAGAGGCAGGACCTAGAGGCAGAAAGACTGATGGGAGCTATTAAAAGTCTGCATGAGAAGAAATCAGGCCCTGAACACAGGTGGTATCAATGGTAATTGAGAGAAGGGGGGAGATATTGCCAAGGTAGAAACAATATGAGTTGGTAAATATTTGGATTTGTGGAATCAAGGATCATTGTCATCATCAGTGAATGGTTACTGTATTTAAAGATTACTAGAAGAATGTAAAACATTATTATGCTTGATTTGACTCTCTTGTCTAAAATCTAAGATGAAGTCAGTCTTGGATCAGGATAAAAGTTGTTTTAGTTAGCCTTTTTGTGATTATGCATGCTAATAAAGGGTGGTATTTTATTTTCTGGTCCCCATTTATAGGTGGAATTAACATTAAAATGGACTCTACTTCTCATGAATTGCCAATGAGGACTCTGGAACGCATTGCCTCTGAGCTTGGATGCAATCTGACTGATGAGAAGCTTGCCTTGTACCTGGATGAACAGGATGAGCTAAAGCACTTCCAAGAATATTTCCATATTCCAAAAATGAAGGATCTACCTTTAAGTGAGAAATACAACCAATGGGAAAGTTTTTATCTTCTGCATATGCTTATTATCATGCATAAACATAGGGAAAGATTTATGATTTTTTCAGCTTAGAGAACTCTCAGTATGGGAACACCAATGCAGATTACAGTTCTTTGTGACTCAGGGGATGAATTCTAGGGAATTGCCTGAGGAACACAGGGGTTAGATGACTTGCACAGCATCATATTGCTTGTAAGTGTGGAAGTTGAACCCAGATCTTCCTGACTCAAAGTCCAGCTCTCCTTTTAGCGTGACACAATTCCTTAGGAAATTGTGGAACCTTGGAAAACATTAAAACATTGCATAATAGATCCATTGCAGTCATATCTGATAGCATCAGGTCTTTAGTGCTACCAACTAAATCAACCTATTAGTCTGTCTCAGCCCCAAATGCTTTATGTTCACATTCCTCTTTTGAGTAATATTCTAAAGCACAGTACTTACAAAGTGCTTATGCTGTCACTTATCTTCTTTGAACAATATAGTGACTGATTGAAAATTATAGGCAGACACATTTCCTTTTAATGGATTTAGACTGTAGTGTCTTTAAGTACTTATAGCTCAAAGCAATTACTTTCAATACAACATATTTTAGCATCTTCTATTTGGTTTACTCAGGTGATGGTAGTATTGTATTTTAGGTGAATTTTATTCTGGTACCTGCAGCTTCTGTTGAGAGAGGGGATATGTGATTATATGTTTCTTCATGTGATAAGGGTGAAGGAAGTGCATATATACTGCAGAATAAAGAAAAGATGATGTCTTGGAAATGCTCTCTGAAAAAAATCAACATTTTCTAAGAGACTAGCAATGACATTGGTTATGGAAACTTCTCCTTAAAAACAATATATAGGAAACATAAGGAGTCATTTTTCATACTTGACTTTATTCAACTTCAAATCGTTGAAAATGACTGCATAGATTTAATTGAATTCTCTTCTAGAAGTGCTGATTTCAATGGATATCATAGTGGGCATTTCTCATTTTTTCAATTGATAAAAATGCAAATTTGTAGGCACTAAGTAAGGAAAGTGGGGATAAGAGGTATTATTTAACCCAATAAGGTGATGAAGTTAAGTGAAATGAAAAAGCTGCCAGGAACTATTATTGCATAAAGGATATTAACTCAGCTATTTTAACTTTGATTTTCACTTTCTATCCTTGGTGAGATAAAAATAATCCTTAGTGGTTGGGAATTACATTTTTGTGTCATTTAGAAGTGGAAATTTATTTTTGTTTTGCATTGATTTGGTAATTTCTAAGATTCTTCTAGTTCTAAAATTCTGAATTCTATGACTAAACTTCTTATTGAACTAATTCACATTTGTTTATCATCTAATGCATGTAAAGCATTTAGGACAATGCATGGCACATAGTAAGTGCTACATAAATGTTTCCATTACTACTACTAGTAGTCATAGGACTACTACTACTACTACTACTACTACTACTATTATTATATTTTTAGAAATTTCTGTTTAAAATAATTAAATGTGTAAACTAGCGAGAGCTGAAAGGAAAGGAACTTTGAAATCATTAAGGAAGATCAGACAGATTTTAGGTGGCAAGAGTTTTATTGAATTAGATCTTTCCTTGTCTACCTCTCTCCTTCTGGATTTTTCCCTTGGAACCTTTTTGGAAAATGAAAACTTTCTGTCTTTCTTTAATACTATAGAACAGAGATGTCAAACTTCCTGCTGGCCACAGGCAGCCTATGAAAGTTCCCTGAGGCCAGAACCGGATTAAAATGTAATCAGGAAATATTTTTCAAAATAAAAATAAATAAATAAAATAAAAATATAATATAATATGGTCAATTTGTTGTCTTCTAAATCAATATGTGGTCCACTGGGATCCTTTCTATAAAAGTGAGACACCAACACTTGAAAAGACACTAAAGAAAGTAAAATAACTTTGTTTTACCATGTGATTTCATTTGTTCTTAAGTTTTTGCCAGTTTTTTATAAAATGTCAAAAACAAGAGATATAGGGCAGCTAGATGGCCTAGTGGATAGAACACCAGCCCTGGAGTCAGGAGGACTTGAGTTGAAATCCAGTCTCAGATACTTTCCAGCAGTGTGACCCTGGTGCAGTGTCACACACATACATACACACACACACACACACACACACACACACACACACACACACAGATACTAGGTTCCTAAATTTCAGCCCTTTGTACTTAAAACAAATTTTAAAATTATAAATAATTCACTTATTAAATCCAAAAGTGCTATTTGGATAACCTATATTTTAAATACCTAATATAATTTTATGATCAAATCATTGCCTTTTTCCTAAACTGACAACATGCATTTAGAAACATAAAAAACTAAAAAAGTATTGCATATATTTTAATTTTCCTTAAAATCTATTGTGATTTTTTAAAAGGAGAGGTAGAAAGGAAGCACAAGAAATTTAAAACATTATTTCTGTCACCATTACAAAATTTCTAGAAACTTATCATCTGTATTTACACATTTGTTTTCTCACAAACTGCTTTGTTGATTGCGATCTGAACATACTATTCAGGAAAAAGCTAAACAGAAAAGAATTTTTAGATCATTACTTCTCTCAATCTTTGATTAAGCTACTAGAGAAATCTTTTTTCTTATAAAAATATATTCTTAGCTTCTACTACTCATCCCTTCTGAGGAAGGAGTAAGTCAGGCAAATGATGAGTTTAAAGAAAAAAGCCAGAATGGATCTGTCTGAGAGATGGTAGACATCCCCATTTTCTATTTCTCTAACCCTAACTTCTTTTCTGAGAAGGCCTCAACCAAGATTTCCACCTCTACCACCAATTCAATATAGGCAAGACTAAGGTTGTTATTTTTCCCTCTAAATCTATATCCTCTTTTAACTTAAGTCACTATCTATCTACTCTCTCGTGTTTGAAATTTCATTGTTCTATCTTTTCTACTCCCCTGTTCTTCATCTTTCATATTGATTCCCCACATATTGAATCATTTTATTAAGTCCTGGCAATTCTGTTACTTCTCCTTGTCTTCTGTTCCTTTCCATTGTCTCCCCCATCTCACACACACACACACACACACACACACACACACACACACACACACATACATACACACCCTAGTATACCCTAGACTGTCATTATTACCTACCTGGGTTACTATAGTAGCACCTATACTCTTTCCCAAACTTAATCTATCATTCATATGCCTGATTGTCTTTATGCATAGATATGACCATTTATTTAGCTGTTAAGTTATTATTAAGCACTACGATGTACCATGTCAGGTGCTAAGGCCAGGGAAGGGAATAAGGATTAGATCTGTGCTTTACTTGATATAGGAAACACCCACACGAGGAAATTCCCTTTACTAGTGCAGGTTGGCCCCTTATCTATAATTTAGAGAGAGCATTGGTTGGTTAAATGACCTACCCAGCCACATAACTGATATGAGTCAGAGGTAGTACTGGAAGCTAATTCTCTATCCATTATTCCACACTGCCTCTTAATGCAAGGAATAAGCAGGGAAAAAGAAAACTGTACCTGATTGCTAGGAGCTTACATTATACTAGGAGGAAGTAACATATACAAAGACAAGTCAGTCAACTAGCATTTTTAAGTGCTTACTATGTGCCAGGTATTGTGTTGAATACTAAGTATACAATAATAACAACAACAACAAATCAAAAGACACCGCCTGCTCTCAAGGAGCTTACAATCTAATGAGAGAGACAAAATGAAAAAAAAAACAACTATGTATAAACACAGCATGTTCAGGATAAATTGAAGATCATCAACAGAGAGAAGGCCCTGGCGTTGGGAAATATGAGGAAAGTCTTCTTTTGAAAGTTGGGACTTTAGCTACGACTTGAATGAAGCCAGGGAAGCTAGAAGGCAGAGATGAGGAGGGAGGGAGTTCCAGGCATGGTGGACAGCCAGTGTAATGCTTGGAGCTGGATGATGGAGTGTTGTGTCCGAGAAAAGGAAAGGAAGCCAGTGTCACTGGATACCAGAGTACCTGGGTAAGGTACAAGATGTAAGAAGACTTGAAAACTAGGAAGGGGCCAAGTTATTCAGTTTTTTATTAGTCAAGTAAATGCAAAATAGTTTTGTGGGAATTCCACTGAGAACCAAGAGAATCAAGAAGGGCCTCTTTTTTGTAGATAGCACTTGAGTTGAATGAGCCTTGAAGAATAGGAGGGATTTGAAGAAATGGAGGTAAGGAGGAAGGGCATTCCAGCTAATCAATAAATAAGGATTTATTATTTGCCTACTCTTTCTCAGGCACTCTTAGGTACTGAGCATACAATGATAAAAATGAAATTCTCTCTACCCTCAAAAATGCTTTCATTCTAGAGACAAGAAGACAACATGTACACATGTAAATACCTACAAAATAAATAACAAAGTCATTTTATTTGGGTGGGAGTTGAGGCACTAACAGCTGGAGGCAGTCAGAAAAGGCTCTATGTAGGAAGTGGTGTTTGGTCTGAGACTATGGTTTCTAAGGAGTAGAGATGAAAATACATTCTAGCCACGGGGGATAACCAGTGCAAAGACACAGAGACTGCTTTAAGGAATAGCAAGATCAATTTGGTTGAACTTTAATAAGTGTGTGAAGAGGAATAGGCTGAAAACGCATGTTAGAGCCAAATTGTAAAGATCTTTAAGAATTAAACAGAGAAGTTTATATTTGTTCCTAAAGGTAATTTGTTATGACTGGAGCTTTTTGATCAGGGCAGTGACATGATCATACTGATGTTTTAGAAGTATCTTGCCCAACAGTCACAAAGCCATGGTATGTTATGGCAAGACTTGAACTTGCATCTTCCTTGCTTTAAAGATATTCTCTTTCCATTACACTATATAATGTCTCAATGTTGGGGATACACAAGATAAAAATTAAACAGTTCCTGCTCTACTTGGCAGCTATGTAGAGGATAAATTAAAGAAAGAATAGATTTAAGATAAGGATATTAATTAGGAGGCCATTATAA